AAACGTATCCCAACACCTGAAACCCATTCTCTTTGCTGATGACACGACTTATGTCATCTCTCAAACCCCAATCCCTTTCCACCCTCAACACCATTGTGAATGAGGAGCTGATTAAAATATCGACTTGGATGACAGCCAATAAACTTACGCTTAACACTGACAAAACTTACTATATTATGTTTGGTAGCAGAGCACGTTAAGAGACCATACAATAAGTGTCAGGGGCCCGAGACTGTTCAACTGCCTCCCAGCACACATAAGGGGGATTACCCAAAAGACCCCTGGCAGTCTTCAAGCTGGCACTGACAAGCACCTAAAGTCAGTTCCTGATCAGCCGGGCTGTGGCTCGTACGTTGGTTTGCGTGCAGCCAGCAGCAACAGCCTGGTTGATCAGGCGCTGATCCACCAGGAGGCCTGGTCACAGACCGGGCCGCGGGGGCGTTGACCCCCGAAACTCTCTCCAGGTAAACTCCAGGTAAACACTCTAATTACCAGAAATAATGGGGGAAAATTCCTAGGCTTATACCTTGACAACAACCTGAATTTCAGCACCCATATCCAGCATATAGCCAAAAAAGTATCCAAAACGGTTGGGATCCTCTCCAAGATAGATACTACGTGCCGCAAAATGCCCTTCTCACACTATACCACTCATTTATCCATACCTCACCTATGCTATTTGTGCTTGGGGATCAACTGGGAAACAACACACCAAAAGCCAATAATAACCCCAACAAAAAGCTGCAGTAAAAAATAATCACTAAATCCCATCCCTGGCAGGACACCCCCCCACTCTTTAAAGATCCTTAAACTTACTCCCATTCAGTACATCCACACTTTTCTACTGTGCAATCTATATCTACAGGGCCTTAAACTCTAATATCAACCTTGACCTAAAACGCTTCTTGATAGTTGTGAAAAGAACCCACAGGGATAACACTAGACACAAACATCTCACGACATTCCCCGTGTCCGACTAAACCTTTACAAAAATTCAATGTATGTTCAAAGGCCCTAAAATCTGGAATACCCTACCTGAGAACTCTAGAACTGCAGACACATTCATCACCTTCAAAACACATTAGAAACATCTTATCTCCCTGATACACCCCGTCAACTAACTACACGAAATACCACCTGGTGGGTTTACACTTACACTCGCCCACTCATTTGACCATAAACAGAAATATTTAAACTCAGTCTTAAAAAAATGAATCCTGTGATACTCCAATACTGAAACTATATACTGTGCCAAAACAAAAGCATTCACATGCTAAACTCATAAACTATATTTAGTCACTTAGCCATAATACCAACTTACCTCATAATTTGTAATATTTTACAATTAAGAATAAAACTAAGTATGCCCGAAATGCCTAGCCATGCTAAGCGTTCTAGTGGTACACTCTGTAATCACAATTTTACTACATGTAAACCAAACAATAACCAAATTTCTGTAACTCGATTGTAATCCTTAAGAGAATAAACATAGCGAAATAAAAATTCAAAATCAGAGAACCCCCCAAATCCCACCAACGAAAAAAGCAAACAACTCAATGATTTCTTTTCCAATATAGGTCAAAACCTTGCCAAATTTAAAATCCCAAGCTCCAGAACCCCACCCAAAAACTAAACCCCACGGGGGAACTACCCGAAAAAACACTTTTCCCAGCTCCCACTAACCCATATGAAGTCTCCCTTATTTTTCAAAGCACTGAAAAAACAAGGGGAGGAGATTTTTAAAAACCTTTCCCCCCTTTATATACAAAAAAAAGGGCACAAAATACTTTCACCAATCCCTTGCAACACTCTTAAAAAAACCATTTAAACCTCCACCTTCCCTACGTTCCAAAAAAGCAAGGGGCACCCCGTCCAAAAAAGGAGGAGACCAAACAGAGTTTTAATAACTATAGGCCAAAACCCAATTTACACCCCTCTCTCAAAAATCTTCGAAAAAATTAATTCATAAACGAATCTATTCCTACCTCATCTCCCATAACATTCTCAACCCCTGCCAATTTGGATTCGGGGCCTAATAACAATACTAATGATGCATTATACACATGCTTGAACATTATACACTGCAATAGAGAAAAAGAAGTCCCACTGGGGATCTTCATTGACTTACGTAAAGCTTTTGATACAGTTGACCATGACTTGCTCCACGTTAAATTGTCACACTATGGTATTAGAGGGGCACTCCCTCAAACTCCCTCAAGTCTTTCCTCAAAAACAGAAGCCAGTATGTGTACGAAAAATGGGGCAAGCTCTTCCGCACAACCAATTACAGTTGGTGTCCCACAGGAAGTGTCCTTGCCTCTTCTCTTTCCCCTATACATAAATGACCTACAAAATGCTTCGCAATTACTCAAACCCACACTTTTTGCAGATGACACTAATACGTCTTCTCCCCCCCCGAGCCCAGTCACGCTAGCCAATACTGTAAACACCGAATTACAGAAAATATCTCCCTGGATGAGGACTAACAAACTTACACTAAACATTGACAAAACCTACTTCATTCGTTTGGTAGCAGAGCTACAGATGTACCTCTTAACATAATGATAAACGGATCACCTATCACAAAGCTAACAGAGGGAAAATTCTTAGGAATCCACCTCGATAATAGACTCAAATTTCATACACTATACAACAAATTTCTAAGAAAATTTCCCAAAGAACTGTAGGCATACTATCGAAGATACGGTACTATGTTCCACAGTCAGCCCTCCTGGCCCTTTATCACTCTCTTATTTACCCCTATCTCACCTAGGGAATTTGTGCATGGGGCTCAAACAACAACTAACCATCTAAAACCCCACTAATTACCCAACAAAGGCTGCAGTTAGAATGATAACAAATTCTCACTACAGGCGCACACTCCCCCAAATATTCAAAACACTCAACCCATCCCATACAAAACATCCATACTTATTATTGCACTTATTACATACATAGAACACTTAACTCTGATATTAACCCTCCCCTCAAACATCTCCTTGCCAACCTCAACAGAACACATGACCATAATACAAGGCACAGATCATTCTTCGATGTTCCTCGTGTCCATCTCACGCTATGCAAAAACTCAATGCACATAAAAGGCCCTAAAATCTGGAATTCATTACCTGTAAATATAAAAGAAACACTACCTGTTTATAAATTCAAGTCTCTTCTCAAAGGGAGGGAGAGATACATGATTATATACACCTGGAAAATCCTAGAGGGACTAGTACCGAACTTGCACACGAAAATCACTCACTACGAAAGCAAAAGACTTGGCAGACGATGCACCATCCCCCCAATGAAAAGCAGGGGTGTCACTAGCACGTTAAGAGACCATACAATAAGTGTCAGGGGCCCGAGACTGTTCAACTGCCTCCCAGCACACATAAGGGGGATTACCAACAGACCCCTGGCAGTCTTCAAGCTGGCACTGGACAAGCACCTAAAGTCAGTTCCTGATCAGCCGGGCTGTGGCTCGTACGTTGGTTTGCGTGCAGCCAGCAGCAACAGCCTGGTTGATCAGGCGCTGATCCACCAGGAGGCCTGGTCACAGACCGGGCCGCGGGGGCGTTGACCCCCGAAACTCTCTCCAGGTAAACTCACTCAAAACCAAATAAATACTGAATAACTGAACCATATAAATTGCATATCCTAAATGTTACTCACAATTATATCACACAAATGTTATACCTAACTTTGTTATTTTTTTTTAAATACACTACCTGAATGAACTGCAATGCATGCAACCACATGACCTGTCTTTGTTATACTCATTTGTATTTTATAGTTATCTGTTTACAATAATGTCTTATCACTGATTTCATCATTGATTAGTTAATCTTAAGTTAATTTTAAGCCAGCCCGTAATGCTATGCAAATAAGTGGCTTTGGCATGCTGCTCTTACCTGTATTTTTTTGTACCTCTGTATGTATGCTAAAATTTATAAATAAATAAATAAATAAACTATTACCTGACAAGCCAAGATTGTAATCTACCCCTCTTTGAAAGCATACAGCTTAGCCAATTTATCAGTTCTATCAAGCATCCGAAGACCAATGTGAGATGGAATCCACAGCATGTGCACTCTGACTCCACTGTCCACAATCTTACCATACCTATGTCTGGCTTCTGACACAAGCATGCCACAATTTATGCTTAATGAGTTGAGAGCATTTATGGATGACAGAGTATCAGTTACAATTAAACTGTCAATCTTAGATACATAGATGCATTTCAGTGAAAGGAGTATGGCAAACAGTTCTGTCTGAAGGGTAGAGGCCCAATTATTGATGCGTGCTCCAATTTCTTTAAGAGAACCATCACTCTGTATGGCAACAGCAGCACTACCAGCTGCACCAGTGTATGACAACAGCAGCACTACCAGCTGCACCAGTGTATGACAACAGCAGCACTACCAGCTGCACCAGTGTATAACAACAGCAGCACTACCAGCTGCACCAGTGTACGACAACAGCAGCACTACCAGCTGCACCAGTGGATTGGTGAACAGAACCATCAACGTAAATAATTTGCGAGAGTGTGTGCTGTGTGACCAAGTTATCAATACAGCTTAAGGGCATCATGTTTGACTTCAAGGCGAAGTTTTGGTTGCGATTTAAGAAGTAGTTTGGGGGGAAATGAAGGAATGGTAGCGGAGCGGAGAAGTGCCGCTGTTGCCTTACTTGACATAAATCATGTATCTGATTCATGCGGAGGTCGGTTTCAGTTTTTTCGATCCATCTGGAGGAGTGTTCACCATTGCTGAGGAAAGTTTGGAGGGCTTCTGTGCAGGGGTTTGAATGGGCTTTCCTTAGCATATTAACCCCAATTAGGATATTTCTTTCAGTAACACGATCTCTGATGCTTGGAATATCAAGTTCTTTTTGCATATTTAAAATTTTGACAGTGCGAGGGCATCCTAAAATGATCCTCATTGCTTCGTTCTGCAGTTTTTCCAGCCCTCCAAGCTTCCAGTGAGACACAAGAGCAAGTAGTGCCGCAGCATAATCAACCAAAGATGTACCACAACAGCTGTGGTCATACTGTCTGGCTCCCACACGACTCACACTCTGGTGGACCTTAACAACCACAACAACAACAATAGTCTGGGTAAACCTCTTCACTGTAGTAAGATTATTACACTTGAGAGGTCAGAGTATGAGGTGAGTGATAATGACAGAACCTTCACATTATCTGGAAGATCCTCGTAATAACCTCAGTAAACTGAACAGTATTGATCTTGTATTGTGGTGGATCTCCCTTCATGTTGCGTACGTTAATGTGTTGCTACTTTTGTGTTAGCAGCTGCACAGTAAACAATACTAAGTTGTGTGTTTCTAGTTACTTGTAGCAGTGAGTGTTTCTACAGGGGAGGGTGTTGCAGAAACTAGTCATGTCAAGCCCATGATGACACTCTTCATCATGCCAAGCCCATGATGACACTCTTCATCATGCCAAGCCCATGATGACACTCTTCATCATGCCAAGCTCATGATGGACATCTTCATCATGCCAAGCTCATGAAAGACACTTTATCATGCCAAAGCCATGATGACACTCTTCATCATGCCAAGCTCATGATGACACTCTTCATCATGCCAAGCTCATGATGACACTCTTCATCATGCCAAGCCCATGATGACACTCTTCATCATGCCAAGCTCATGATGACACTCTTCATCATGCAAGCAATGATGATACTCTTCATCATACCAAGCCCCCGATGACACTCTTCATCATGCCAAGCCCCTGATGACACTTTCACAGCCAAACCATAAAGCACTCTTCATCATGCCAAACCCAGTGACACTCTTCTCTGCCAAGCTCATGATGACCTTTTCAGCCAGCCTATGATGCAATTTCATCATGCCAAAGCCCTGATGACACTCTATGATGACACTCTTCATCATGCCAAGCCCATGATGACACTCTTCATCATGCCAAGCCTATGATGACACTCTTCATCATGCCAAGCCCATGATGACACTCTTCATCATGCCAAGCTCCATGATGACACTCTTCATCATGCCAAGCCCATGATGACACTCTTCATCATGCCAAGCTCATGATGACACTCTTCATCATGCCAAGCCCATGATTGACACTCTTCATCATGCCAAGCCATGATGACACTCTTCATCATGCCAAGCCCATGATGACACTCTTCATCATGCCAAGCTCATGATGACACTCTTCATCATGCCAAGCCCATGATGACACTCTTCATCATGCCAAGCTCATGATGATACTCTTCATCATGCCAAGCCCATGATGACACTCTTCATCATGCCAAGCCCATGATGACACTCTTCATCATGCCAAGCTCATGATGATACTCTTCATCATGCCAAGCCATGATGACACTCTTCATCATGCCAAGCCATGATGACACTCTTCATCATGCCAAGCCTTGATGACACTCTTCATCATGCCAAGCCATGATGACACTCTTCATCATGCCAAGCCCATGATGACACTCTTCATCATGCCAAGCCCATGATGACACTCTTCATCATGCCAAGCCCATGATGACACTCTTCATCATGCCAAGCTCATGATGACACTCTTCATCATGCCAAGCCCATGATGACACTCTTCATCATGCCAAGCCCATGATGACACTCTTCATCATGCCAAGCTCATGATGACACTCTTCATCATGCCAAGCTCATGATGATACTCTTCATCATGCCAAGCCCATGATGACACTCTTCATCATGCAGTCATGATGACATCTTCATCATGCCAAGCCCAGATGACACTCTTATCATGCCAAGCTCATGATGATACTCTTCATCATGCCAAGCCCATGATGACACTCTTCATCATGCCAAGCCCATGATGACACTCTTCATCATGCCAAGCTCATGATGATACTCTTCATCATGCCAAGCCCATGATGACACTCTTCAACATGCCAAGCCCATGATGATACTCTTCAGGTCACTTGTTCTATCTAGGCTGGAATATTGCTGCACACTAACAGCACCTTTCAAGGCAGGTGAAATTGCTGACCTAGAAAATGTACAGAGAACCTTTATGGTGCACATAACTGCATTAAAACACCTCAGTTACTGGGAATGCTTGAAGTTCCTCAACCTGAACTCCCTGGAACGTAGGTGGGAGAGATATATCAGTATATACACTTGGAAAATCCTAGAGGGATTAGTACCAAACTTACACATGAAAATCACTCTCTTTGAAAGCAAAAGACTTGGCAGATGTTGCAACATCCCCCCAATGAAAAGCACAATGAGAGACAACACAATAAGTGTCTGGGGCCCAAGACTGTTCAACTTCCTTTCAGCATACATAATGGGGATTACCAATAGATCCCTGGCTGTCTTCAAGAAGGCACTGGACAGGCACCTAAAGTCAGTACCTGACCAGCTGGGCTGTGGTTCATACGTCGGGTTGCGTGCGGCTAACAGACTGATTGACCAGGCCCTGATCCACCACGAGGCCTGGTCACAGACCGAGCCGCAGGGGCATTGACCACGAAACACTCTCGAGGTAAACAGTGGGTGTGGTAGTTTGTTGTCACAGTGGGTGTGGTAGATTGTTGTCACAGTATGTGTGGTAGATTGTTGTCACAGTGGGTGTGGTAGATTGTTGTCACAGTGGGTGTGGTAGATTGTTGTCACAGTATGTGTGGTAGATTGTTGTCACAGTGGGTGTGGTAGATTGTTGTCACAGTGGGTGTGGTAGATTGTTGTCACAGTATGTGTGGTAGATTGTTGTCACAGTGGGTGTGGTAGATTGTTGTCACAGTGGGTGTGGTAGATTGTTGTCACAGTGGGTGTGGTAGATTGTTGTCACAAATCGTCTGTGTTGTTCCAGGGACATAGAAGTGTAACTAAAGACTTTGAATTAGGAACCCCACAGGGAGGTGTGCTCAGTCCCACACTGTTCAATATTCTAATTAATGCATTACTTAATGCTATGCCTATTCAGCCCCATCATTATGTGATTAGTTTTGCTGATGACATAATGATTCACACCACCGGATTCTCCAACACCCAAAACATTCTTAATCATGTACTAGCCTCGTGTCAGGACCTGGGGTTGGTAATCTCTACTGATAAAACAAAGATACTCAATAGGCGTCCTCCTCGACAGAGAGGCACAGTTCGTCAGATCCAATTGCATGATGGGTCTCTTCTAGAATATGTAAGCAGATACAGGTATCTAGGCTTTGAGGTTCCACTACTTGGACCTGTTGTAACAAGACTTTGTCGCCAATACAAAGAAAGACTAAGAGCACTTAGAGTTGTGGCAGGGCTTCACGCCAGGTATGGTGCTAATGTTAAAATTGTGAAAATGATGTATCTTGCTTATATTAGATCATTGGTTGATTATGCTGCGCCAATACTTGCTCTTGTGTCTGACTGGAAGCTTGGAGGGCTGGAAAAACTGCAGAACGAAGAAATGAGGATCATTTTAGGATGCCCTCGTACTGCCAAAATTTTAAATATGCAAAAAGAACTTGATATTCCAAGCATCAGAGATCGTGTTACTGAAAGAAATATCCTAATTGGGGTTAATATGCTCAGGCAAGCTCATTCAAACCCCTGCACAGAAGCCCTCCAAACTTTCCTCAGCACTGGTGAACACTCCTCTAGATGGATCGAAAAAACTGGAACCGACCTCCGCATGAATCAGATACATGATCTGTGTCAAGTAAGGCAACAGCGGCACTTCTCCGCTCCATGGAATATTACCCTATTCCAAACTTCCATTCCTCCATTTCCCCCCAAACTACTACTTAAATCACGACCAAAACTTCGCCTTGAAGCCAAACGTGAGGCCTTAAGCTGTATTGATAACTTAGTCACACAGCACACACTCTCGCAAATTATTTACGCTGATGATTCTGTTCACCAAACCACTGGTGCAGCTGGTAGTGCTGCTGTTGTCGTACAGAGTGATGGCTCTCTTAAAGAAATTGGAGCACGCATCAATAATTGGGCCTCTACCCTTCAGACAGAACTGTTTGCCATACTCCTTGCACTGAAATGCATCTATGTATCAAAGATTGACAGTTTAATTGTAACTGATTCTCTGTCATCCATAAATGCTCTCAACTCATTAAGCATAAATTGTGGCATGCTTGTGTCAGAAGCCAGACACAGGTATGGTAGGATTGTGGACAGTGGAGTCAGAGTGCACATGCTGTGGATTCCATCTCACATTGGTCTTCAGATGCATGATAGAACTGATAAATGGCTAAGCTGTATGCTTTTCAAAGAGGGAGGTAGATTACAATCTTGCCTTGTCAGGTAGTAGTTTGAGAACAATAATACGAAAAGAACTTCAACTGAATTTTATGGACTTAAGGCTCAGGGAGATTGACACCAGTGAGTCCATCTATCATCATTCTATCATGCAGGAGGAGCCACATGTCTATGGTGCATCCAACAAAATAAGCAGACTCTTGGATGTCACTACCGCCCGGCTCCGGCTGGATTACAAGTATCTTTGGCAGGTTAAATCACCACCACCAGATGTAGACCAAACGAAATGTAAACTTTGCCAGATGGACTATTGTCACACCTTGCGTCATTATGTACTGGAGTGTGATAAAATTAATGAATTTAGAAACAACTCACTCAGAAGTGTTCAAGAAATGGCTAAGTATTTTATCCACAGTGGTATATTACAGACCATTCTGGAGAAATACCCTGACTTTGCTAGCTGTAAATAAAGCATTACCACATATGTGTGTGTGTGTGTGTGTGTGTGTGTGTGTGTGTGTGTGTGTGTGTGTGTGTGTGTGTGTGTGTGTGTGTGTGTGTGTGTGTGAACTCACCTAGTTGAGATTGCAGGGGTTGATTCCAAGCTCCTGTGTGTGTGTGTGTGCGTGTGTTTGTGTGTGTGTTTGTGTGTGCGTGTGTATGTGTATGAGTGTGTACTCACCTAGTTGTACTCACCTAGTTGAGGTTGCGGGGGTCGAGTCCGAGCTCCTGGCCCCGCCTCTTCACTGATCGCTACTAGGTCACTCTCCCTGAGCCGTGAGCTTTATCGTACCTCTGCTTAAAGCTATGTATGGATCCTGCCTCCACTACATCGCTTCCCAAACTATTCCACTTACTGACTACTCTGTGGCTGAAGAAATACTTCCTAACATCCCTGTGATTCATCTGTGTCTTTAGCTTCCAACTGT